AAAAGAAGGATTTTTCAAAAACAAGGATCACATGAGGAAAGGCCAATCGTTGCAATAGTGATGGTTCTGTCAGATTAGAGACTGTAATCAAAGCACAGAACTCTGGCAGCATCAGGGGAGCGTGGATGGTAAAGAGCGAGAAGTAAGATTGAGGTAGCTCACATTTAAGAGGGAAAGTCAGAGAGAGTCTGATCATAGATAAGTAAAGGACGAGGAAATCTAGAGCGAGGGCAAAGAAAAGTCACTGAGGCAGGGAAGGCGCCAAGGTGCCTAGCTTTGGAGACTAAAGAATAATTTCACTACAAACAAATTTGTAGGAAGAATGCTAGTTTGGGGAAATGATGCTCCATTTCACACAGGCTGAGTTGCGGCTGTGGAGGTGTATCTGTCCTTCCAGCAGCAAGAAACACGGAACTAACACACAGATGGGAAATCAGAGATGGAGACAATACACGATCTGCTGAAGGAACAGGAGTACACAGAAGGGAAAAGGGCCAAAAACAGAGCCTTAGGGAATACGAAAGCAAAAGACCAAAAGAAGGAGAACCCAGAGGAAAAGACAATTGGATGAGATGAAAGGAAACAAGGTTGATATGGTGTTACAGAAGCCAAGGAATTCTCAGGAAGACAGAGGCAGACAGTGGTATTAAATGTCAGAAGCAAGATGACAAATTGGGTAAGTAAACGTGATGGAACTGGAAGAATGCTGAGGTCCAGAATGATTCAAGTAGAATACTGGGAGCAAAATCCAGAGTTAAAGAAAGAAAAGGAGATGAAGTAGAAGAGGAGAGTACAGGATGCTATATGCTCTTGGCCCAAAAGAATGAACAACTAATGCACAGCAAACCTGAGGAATTTTATATCACACACTACATGATAAAAATCTTAGTGCTTTTAAAACAAAATAGAATTTGTAGTGAGAGTTTTAAACTAATTACCCTATGAAATGATTCACCTTTCTATAGATTACCCTAAAAAATGATAATAGCTAACTTCTAAGATTCCAAAATATTTTCCAAATACAATTTTGTTACATATAATCATCTTCATTAAAAGGCTGATAAGATCTGATAAAACTGGTAAGACCAAAAAGATACATGCACCCCAATATTCATAGCAGCACTATTTACAATAGCCAAGACATGGAAGCAACCTAAATGTCCATCAACAGATGCTTGGCTGAAGAAGCTGTGGTATGTTGACAGAATGGAATACTACTCAGCCATAAAAAGG